GAAGAACCAACAGGCCCAGCACCGCCAGACGCCACACGAGGAGGTCCAGCGGCCGCGGGCTCCGCACCCCCAGGCTCAGCAGCTACAGACCCAGCACCCTCAGGCTCAGCAGCTCCAGACGCAGCACCCCCAGGCGAAGGACTCCCAGGCTCAGCACCCCCAGTCGTAGCACCCCCAAGCTCAGCACCCCCACTCGCAGCACCCCCAGTCTCAGCACCCCCAGGCTCAGCACCCTCAGGCTCAGCACCCACTCGTACAGCACCCCTAGAGTCAGCACCCCCAGGCTCAGCACCCGCAGCAGTACCAGAGTCACCAACAACATCGACCGGCTCGACTGCGTCTACCTGGGACACACCTGAAGGGCCAGGACCCTAAGGGGGGAGGGGGTCTACCTGGGGGGGACCTGGCACAAGGAAGTGTGGCGGCGGGGGAAGGGAAGGAGTGCGGTAGGGGAAGAGATGGTAGTAGGGGACTGACTCGCCGAACGTGACGTCCTGGGAGGACAGAACACGACGAGAGGTGGGGTGGTAGAACTGCCACCAAGGGGCGTCAGTGGGGAAGCCAAGGAAGACAGAGAGAGCAGCACGAGGGGACAGCTTGTCCGCAGACAAGTCGTGGACAAACGCCCGAGATCCTCAGACACGGAACGCAGACGCATCGCCGACCTTCCCCGTCCACAGCAAGGCTGGGGAGGTCTCCGGCCTGGAGACCCTGGGGTGAAGGTTGATCTGATGCGCCGCGTACCGAACCGCAAACGGCCACAGAAAATGGGGGCCAGCCGCATACATCATGGACGTACGAGCGACGTCCATGACCATGCCAATGCGGCGCTCAGCAATCCCATTTTGCTGTGGAGAGTCCGGAAGCGTAAAGGTCTGGCGGATGCCTCGCGCACGACAGTAGGCTCGCAGAAGGCCAGAGGAGAACTCTCCGCCTCGGTCAGAGTGCAGACGCAGAACAGGAAAGTCCGAGCCGAAGCTCCTCCTGAGCTGAAGATGAGCTGCGCGGATCCAGTCGATCAACACCTCAGCGACATCACCCTTGCTGCGCAAGGGGAAGACCGTGGTGTAGCGCGAGTAGTCGTCAACCACCAGCAGGAAGTAGCGCTCGTAACCCTGTCCACGGACGCGGGCCGGGCCCCACACGTCCATGTGAAGCGTTTGCAGCGGGGCCTCTGTCGGGGGAAACTGAGAGGAGTGAGGGGCAGCCCGGAGCCGCCCCTCGACACAGGGGACACAGGAAGGACAAGGCCCCGAAGGAAGGGGAGGGAGGTACCGAGGAAGACCAGAGACAAGGACACGGGAAGCCATGCCTCGAAGACGAGGCAGGGAGGGGTGACCAAGACGGTGGTGCCACAGGAGAGTCTCGTGAGACAGGAGGCGACACGAGCACGGGGCAGACTTAGGACCAGACCTGGACGCTGCAGCAAACACCTGACTCGACGCAGCTACCTGGCCAGACGCACGGACAGGAGGGGACCCAGTGGTCAGGGTGTAGAGGCTCGACCCCGTTCGACGCGAAAACGTGGCCAGGTGCCGGCCCGTGCGTGCGCCCGAGCAGTGGGTCACCCGCTGACTCGCAGGAGTAAACTGGTGAACCCCCGCATCCTGCAGGTCAGCACCACTCACCAAGTTCGCCGAGAACGAGGGGAGGTAAAGACCAAACAAGGTGCCGGAGGGGGCAGCCGGACACGGGAGGAAAGTGGAGAAGTGAAAGAGGACAGGACCCCCAGAGGGGTCTGCCAGGGAGACTGCAACCGGCCGACCAAGCGGCGTGAGTGTGGTGCGGTCTCGAAAGAAGGAGCGCGAAGCCCCTGAGTCAAGTGTGAAGGTGAGGGAGGCCGAAGTCGACGCGGTACCTGAGAGCGCAGCCTCACTAGTACCTGAGGGCGCAGACGCGCTGGCACCTAGAGCAGCAGCCTCACTAGCACCTAGCGCAGCAGTACCAATGCCCGGGTCGGGCGGGAAACACCGGTAACAGTCACCCTCATCACTTATAGTCACAGCATACATGGCAGCAAGGATAGCATCAAAATCAAGATCATAGATAGCTACACCTGCCCTAGACAGCTCTCCCCAGCGGGGGATCTCACTAGCCTCGGGGAACTGCTGACGCCAAGCGTCCGTCAGGCGGCCAAAGCAGTGCTGGGTGGGGTGGGCACCCCCACACTGCTCACCCGCGCGGTCGCCGGAGCGAAGAACGTAGGTGCACGGACCTAAACCCCCACCACGCTGACACTGCATGTACCACTTACGGAGCTGCTGAGGAGGGGGGATGTCCCAAGAACGCTGCTGCTGCTGCTGCTGCTGCTGCTGGCGCTGACCACCACCGGAGCCGCTCCGCTGCGAAGCACCACCCCGACCAGCTCCACCTCCTCCACCACCGCCGCCTCCACCTCTGCCACCACCGCTGCCTCCGCTCCCACCGCTACCGCCTCCGCTGCCTCCGCCTCCGCTGCTGCCACCACCACCTCCACCCCCGCCACCACTCCCACCGCCACCCCCACTCCCTCCGCCGCCTCCACCGCCACCTCCACCACCCCCGCTAGCTCCACCTGCGCCCTTGCCCCCCTTGCCCTTGCCAGAGCGGCGTCTCCCGCTAGGGGAAGTCGCTGCACCGACCGACTCAAGACCAATGAGGTCGGCCGCAGCAGCAGAGGCGACAGAGGGCAACAGGGGGGAAGGGGAACACCCCTCAAAGATGGGGGTGCGAGGGTCACCACGAGAGGCTCCTACAGCGACTATGCTCTTCTCCGTTGCTAGGAGGACCTTCTCTAGGAGGTCAACAGTGAGAGTGGTGGGACAGACTGAGAGGAAGTGGTCCCTGAGTACGCGAAGGGAGTGAGGGAGGCGGGTGACTATATAATAGAGAGTGATGTACATGGGGGGGGGGGGTTCTTGGCGCAGAACTCAGCAGGAAGCGCGGCGCGCTAGCGAGTGTCACTAGTGCGGAGGTGCGTAATGAGGTCAGCGACTGTGGGAAAGGCAGCAAGGTCAGGGAAGAGGTACGGAAGCATGAGGTGGCTCAGTGCAACAGTGGCAGGGGAAGAGTAGCGCGCAACTACAGCATTGTACAAGGTCTGAGCACTCTTGTACTGACTAAAGTGCGCGCGCTCAGTGGTAGGCAGGTGGCGACGCACAGGAAGACGTGCAGCAGCATCGCGCGTGGCCCACTGGGAGCGAACAGTGGGGTCAGCATCAGCAGCAGGGGCAGGAGAGGCGCCAGAGGTGAGGTCAAAGAGGGAGAGACCGTCTGCCCTATCGCACTGTAGGAAGAGCTGCAGGTCATCTACCCAAACCTCAAAGTCAATGGCTCGACCCTCAGCGTCAAAAGCGAGAACACTAGGGGTAGCCATGACAGCAGTAGACTAGCAGGACCAACTGTAGGATAGGGGCAGTGCAGTGACAGAAGCGCTGCTCTCACCAGATAGGGCGGGTCGGGCAGCTCAGCAGTGCAACACACGGCAACACGGCTGCTCGGACAGCACAGCAGCGACTGCGGCTCCGCGGCACCAGCGGCTCGGCTGATCAGGCGGCTCGGGCGGCTCGGGCGGCTCGAGGCGGCTCGGGCTGGTCGGGCGGCTCGGGCGGCTCAGGAGAGTCGGGCGGCACGGGCGGCTCGGGCAGCTCGGGCAGGTCGGGCGGCTCGGGCGGCTCAGGCGGTTCGGGCGGCTCGGGCGGCGCGGGCGGTGTAGGGCGGCAGGGCCGCTGGTGAAAGGGGCGGCGGGGCCGCTGAGAAGGGCGGCGGGGTCGCTGAGTAGGGCGGCGGGGCCGCAGGAGAAGAGCGGCGGGGCCGCTCATTAGGGCGGCGGCGCCGCTGCAGAAGGGCGGCGGGGCCGCTGAGTAGGGCGGTGGGGCCGCTGAGTAGAAGGGCGACGGGGCCGCTGAGTAAGGCAGCGGGGCTGCTGAGTAGGGCGGCGGGGCCGAAGTGTGGGGCGACGGGGCTGCCGAGAAGGGCGGGGCCGCAGCGACGGGCGGCGGGGCCGCGAAGACGGGCGGTAGGGCCACAATGCGGGGCGACGGGGCCGCTGAGAAGGGCGGGACCGCAGCGACAGGTGGCGGGGCCGCTGAGTAGGGCGGGGCCCGCTGAGAAGGGCGGCCGGGCCGCTGAGACGTGCGGCGGGACCGCACTAAAGGGCGGCAGGGCCGAAGCGACGGGCGGCGAGGGCGCTAGGGGAAGGGGCCCCTAGGGCGATAGGGCCGCTAGGACGTAGGGGACGCTAGGGCGACTCGACGAGGTGAGAGCCCAAAGCGCGACTCGGGCGGAGCGCGCTTCAGGCAGGGAAAAAAAAAAGAAAGTCGATGTGGTGGGCCCTAGGCACAGTTCCCACGGAGGAACTTGCTCGATACAAATATGCAACCCTAGAAATGTGTACCCCATATAGGCTACCCCACTATAGCCTACACAATGTTATAATTTGACCACCCTATAGCCGGGCCGCCCGACCACCCCACTTGCCTGGTAAGAGCATAGTCTCTGCCACTGCACTGCCCTGCCCCACTGTACTCACTGCCTGTCTACTGCTGTTATGGCCTCCCTTAGCGTTCTCACCTTCGACGCTGAGGGTCGGGCAGTGGACTTTGAGGTCTGGGTAGATGATCTGTAGCTTTTCCTACAGTGCAATAGGGCAGACGGCCTCTCACTGTTTGACCTCAATTCTGGTGCCTCCCCTGCCCCTGCTGCTGATGCTGACGCCACTGTTCGCTCACAGTGGGCCACGCGCGATGCTGCTGCTCGCCTTGCTGTGCGCCGCCACTTACCGGCCACTGAGCGTGCACACTTTAGCCGGTACAAGAGTGCTCAGACCTTGTACGGCGCTGTAGTTGCACGCTACTCTTCCCCTGCCACTGTTGCACTGAGCCGCCTCATGCTACCGTACCTCTTCTCTGACCTTGCTGCCTTTCTCACAGTCGCTGACCTCATTACGCACCTTTGCACAAGTGACACTCGCTACCGCGCTGCGCTTTCTGCTGAATTATGCACCAAGAACCCCCCCCCCTATGTACATCACCCTCTACTACATAGTCACCTGGCTCCTTGACTCTATACGCGTAGTCAGGGACCGCTTCCTCTCAGTCTGCCCCACCACTCTCACCGTTGACCTCCTCGAGAAGGCCCTCCTAGCGATAGAGAAGAGCAAAGTCGCTGCAGGAGCCTCTCGTGGTGACCCTCCCACCCCCGTCTTTGAGAGGTGTTCTCCCTCCCCTGTCTTGCCCTCTGTTGCCTCTACTGCTGCAGCCGACCTCGTTGGTTTCGAGTCGGTCGGCGCTGCGTCTGCCCCGAGCGGAAGACGCCGCACCGGCAAAGGCAAGGGGGGCAAGGGCGCTGGAGGGGCTGGAGGGGGCGGTGGAGGTGGTGGTGGAGGCAGTGGAGGGAGTGGGGGTGGTGGTGGGAGTGGTGCCGGGGGTGGTGGCGGCGGCGGCAGCAGTGGAGGCGGCGGAGGCGGTGGAGGTGGAGGAGGGAGCGGAGGCGGCGGAGGTAGTGGAGGAGGCGGAGGTGGAGGAGGCGGCGGAGGCGGCGGTGGTGGAGCGGGTCGCGACTCTGCGCCGAGGAGTGGCGCCGGTGGTGGTCAGCGCCAACAACAGCAGCGGAGTGGTGTGACCCTGTGCCCTTAATAGCTTCCTGAGTGGTACACTGCACCTCAACGCGGTGTGGGTTTTGGTCCCTGCGCTTACGTCCTCCGTACCGGCGACCGCGCTGGTGAGTAGTGCAGAGGCCCGCACTCCACCCAGCGCTGCTTTGGACGCCTGACGGACGCGTGGCATCGCCAGTTCCATGAGGCGTCAGAGATCTCTCGCTGGGGAGATCTGACTAAGGCCACGGTTGCTATCTTTGATCTTGACTTTGATGCTATTCTTACTGCCATGTATGTTGTTTCTGATAGCGTTGAGGGTGCCTATTACCTATGTGTACCGCCTGACCCGCGCATCGAGGCCGCTGCTCTAGTTGCTCGTAAGGCTACTGCTCTAGGTGCTAGTGCGTCTGCTGCCCCAGGTGCTAGTGCGTCTGCTGCCCCAGGTGCTGGTGAGTCTGCTCTCTCAGGTACTATGTACGCTCAGGCCTTCCACACCTTCACCCTAGACTCGGGTGCGTCCCGCTCCTTCTTTCGAGACCGCACCACTCTTACGCCGCTCAGTCGGCCGGTTGCAGTCTCCCTTGCAGACCCCTCTAGGGGTCCTGTCCTTGCTAGCTTCTCCACTGTCCTACCGTGCCCGGCAGCCCCCTCTGGCACCCTGTCTGGTCTCTACCTCCCATCGTTCTCTACGAACTTGGTGAGTGGAGCGGACCTACAGGATAGGGGGGTTGACCAGTTCACTTCTGCGAGTCAGCGAGTGACCCACTGCACATGTGCTCGGACACGCCAACACTTGGCCACGTTCACCCGTCAGCCGGGGTCGAGCCTGTACACCCTTACTATTGAGTCTCCTCCGGCTGCTGAGTCTACTCAGGTAGCTGCGTCGAGTTAGGTGTTTGCTGCGGTGTCCAAGTCCGGTCCTGAGTCTGCTCCCTGCTCGTGTCGTCTCCTGTCCCACCAGACTCTCCATTGGCACCACCGCCTTGGTCACCCCTCCTTGCCTAGTCTCCGAGGCATGGCCTCCCGTGTCCTTGTCTCTGGCCTCCCTCGGTCTCTCCCTCCCCTTCCTTCGGGGCCTGGCCCTACCTGCATCCCCTGCGTCGAGGGGCGACAACACGCCGCCCCTCACTCCTCTGAGTTTCCTCCAACAGAGGCTCCGCTGCAGACTCTCCACATGGACATGTAGGGCCCAGCCCGCGTCAGTGGGTACGGACGCGGGAGTTCTCTGAGGAATCATCCAGTTTTCCTCTGAGTTTTCCTTTGCCTGTCTGGGAGCCTTATATCGTGCACAGGGCATCCGTCAGACCTTCACGCTTCCGGCCTCTCCACAGCAAAATGGGATTGCTGAGCGCCGCATTGGCATGGTAATGGACGTCGCTCGTACGTCCATGATGCATGCGGCTGTCCCCCATTTTCTGTGGCCGTTTGCAGTTCAGTACGCCGCGCATCAGCTCAACCTTCAGCCCCGGGTCTCCTTGCCAGAGACCTCCCCCGCCTTGCGGTGGACCGGGAAGGTTGGCAATGCGTCTGCATTTCGGGTCTGGGGATCTCGGGCGTTTGTCCGCGCCTTGTCTGCGGACAAGGTGTCCCCCCGTGCTGTTCCCTGCGTCTTCCTTGGCTTCCCCCCTGACGCGCCTCGGTGGCAGTTTTACCACCCCACCTCGCGCCGTTCTCTGTCCTCCCAGGACGTCACCTTTGACAAGTCGGTGCCTTACTACCATCTCTTCCCCTACCGCACTACGCCCCTCCCCCCGCCGCCGCTCTTCTTTGCGTCAGGTGCTACCCAGGTGGACCCCCTCCCCCCTCATGGGCCTGCCCTGTCAGGTGCGTCCCAGGTAGACGCAGTCGAGCGTGTCGAGATAGCTATTGACTCTGGTGCTGCTAGCGGTGCTGAGCCTGCGGGTGCCGGGTCTAGGGGTGCTGAGTCTGGGGGTGCTGAGACTGGGGGTGCTGAGCCTGGGGGTGCTGAGACTAGGGGTTCTCAGCCAGGGGGTGCTGCGCGTGGAGGTGCTGAGCGTGGGGGTGCGGAGCCTAGGGGTGCTGGGTCTGCTCGTGTGGCCGCCGGCGGTGCTGCGTCGAGGCGGAAGCCGCTCTCTCCACAGGAGCTGCGCGAGTGGTTCGCCCGCCGTTGGAGATGTGCTGCTGAGTCTGGGGGTACAGCTGGAGTTACTAGAGTTGGTCCTCCTGGAGCTGCTGTCGGTGCTGGTGCTGCTGGAGGTCGAGCTGGTGGGGGTTTTGGCGCTGGTGTTTCTACTGGTGCTGGTGTGTCTTAGGGTGCTGCTGAGGCTGCTGGTGCTGATGGTCCTACTGGAGTTGGTTCTGCAGAAGCTAGAGCTGCTAGTGGTGTTGGCGCTGGCGATGCTGTTGGCGCTGGTGCTTTTGAGGGTGCTGGAGTTGGCGCTGGTGCTTTTGAGGGTGCTGGAGTTGGCGCTGTTTGAGCTCGAGGTGCTGCTGGCGCTGGTGCTGCCGCTGGGGGTACTGGTGCTGTCCTTGCTGGTTCTGGAGGCGCTGCGCGGCCGAGGCCGTACTTCGTTCCTCTCCTGGAGCAAGTTCTTGGTCTCCTGCCCTCTACTGGTCCTACTCCTCTCTTAGAGTGTCCATCGCCTGTCCAGTCGTAGTCTTAGTTACAGCCCGCCTCCCCTCTACCTGCTCCTTCTCTCTACACTGGTCCTACTGGAGGTCTTGCTGAGCGTCGTGAGCCTGCGTCTAGTCGTGCGTCGCCTGTTCGTGCTGCTCGCACTAGTGGTTGTACAGCACGTCCGCGTCCTCCTGCAGTCCCCGGCACACACCAGATGGCACTGCGTCCTTCCACTGCTCCTCTGCGTCTCCCGGTGCCGTCTCCTCCAGAGTCCTCTCTTCCTTCTCTTACTGACCCGGAGTCTGACTCCCTTCGTGCTGCTAGTCCTTCGGTCACGCGCCTTCTTGCTACTATCGTCATTGACCCTTCCTTTGAGTCCACTGCTGCGTCTGCGCTAGTTGCTGAGCTTGTCGACTTCGCTGCTCGCTGTCGTCTTGACTACGCTGCCAATCTCGTTGCTGAGTCTGAGTCTGTCTTTCCTCCATCCGTCAGGGGTGAGTGTGCTCTTAGCACGGACGTCCTTGAGGACAGGCACGAGGAGTTCCAGTGCTTTGCGGCTGCTTTGCCCCATTTCGTGTCCACGCTGATTGCCCCTGAGGGAGACCCGGATGCACCAGACATCCCGACTCCTCGATCGTACGCTGAGGCGATCGAGGGTCCCTAATCCTCTCAGTGGCTGTCGGCCATGGACGCAGAGATGGCTTCCTGGATGTCCACAGGCACCTACGTCGACGAGGTTCCCCCACCTGGGGCGAACATCGTCAGTGGCATGTGGATTTTCAGGGTGAAGCGGCCGCCGGGTTCTCCGCCTGTCCTTAAGGCGCCTTACGTGGCTCGAGGCTTCAGTCAGCGGCAGGGAGTTGACTACTTTCAGACCTTCTCTCCCACCCCGAAGATGACCACTCTTCGGGTGCTGCTGCACATAGCCGCTCAGCGCGACTACGAGCTTCACTCTCTTGACTTCAGCACAGCTTTCCTGCAGGGCAGCCTGCACGAGGAGATCTGGCTGCGCCGCCCTCCTAGCTTCACTGGGTCGTTTCCTCCTGGTACCCAGTGGAGCCTCTAGCGGCTAGTCTACGGTCTCCGCCAGGCGCCCCGTCAGTGGCACGACACACTGAGGACTAAGCTTGCGGCTCTTGTGTTTGCTCCTTCTACAGCCGACCCGTCGCTGTTTCTACGCACCGACACCTCTCTGCCGCCGTTCTACATCCTCGTGTACGTCGACGACTTGGTCTTTGCCACTGCTGACACTGCTAAACTCGCCCACGTGAAGTCCGAGCTGCAGAAGAGAGACACGTGCACAGACCCGGGTGAACTGCGCAGCTACCTTGGCTTGCAGATCACCCGGGACGGAGCACAGCGCACCATTACCCTGACTCAGTCACACATGGTGCAGCGGGTCCTTCAACGCTTCGGCTTCACGTACTCCTCGCCTCAAGCCACCTCTCTGTCTACTCGCCACTCGCTCTCAGCTCTGCCTTCGGATGAGTCCGTAGAGTCGAGTGGCCCGTACCCTGAGCTTGTTGGCTGCCTCATGTACCTGATGACCTGCACACGACCTGACCTTGCATACCCTCTTAGCATCTTGGCACGCTATGTTGCTCGTGGGAGACACAGACCAGAGCACATGGCTGCAGCGAAGAGGGTGTAGCGCTACGTATGCAGTACGTCGGGCATGGGGCTAGAGCCTGGAGGGCGACGTCGAGTAGTCCTCACAGGTCACGCAGACGCTTCTTGGGCTGAAGACCAGCCGACACAGCGGTCGTCACAGGGTTACACCTTCAGCCTTGGCTCCGGCTCTGTTTCGTGGCGGTCTACCCGCTCGTCTTCTGTTCTCAGCTTCAGCTGTGAGGCTGAGATCTACGCAGGGGCCATGGCTGCACAGGAGCTACGCTGGCTCACCTACCTGCTGACTGACCTAGGAGAGCCGCCTCGTTCTCCTCCAGTTCTGTACGTAGACAACCAGGCCATGCTGGCCTTGTGTCGGGAGCACAGGTTGGAGCACAGAACGAAGCACATTGCTCTCCACTACTTCCTTGCTCGTGAGCTGCAGCAGCGTGGTCAGCTCCGTCTCACCTACGTGGCCTCTGAGGCCAACACTGCTGATATCTTCACCAAGGCCCTTCCGCCTTGTGATTATCAGCGCTTCTGTACTTTGCTAGGTCTTGTGCCTACCTGGCCTCACTTGCTCACTTCTTGATCTTGTTTGTACTCTACTCTTTCTATATCTGCACTTGCTTGTTTTCCTTTATATATATGTTCTTGCATGTGAGCCGGCCTTGTGGCCTTACTCTTGTGCTCGGACTGTGTTTTGACTTTGTGATCCACCCTGAGCATGCTTTGCTTTGCTTGACTGGTCTTGTGACCGCTTGTTCTCCCCCACTTTGCCTATGGGGGTGTGTCAGAACATTATAGCTTATACATTTGTGTAGGCTGTAGTGGGGTAGCCCATAAGGGGTACAACCCAATTAGGGTTAGTACCTATACCCAACTCTTTCATAGTTCATTCATCCATTCTCATTTCTCGTTAGCTCGCTGCCTTGCTGAAGGTCAATGGCATTTTGAAGCATGCGTGTGTACGCTTCAACAACCGGATCGGTAAAATCTACCAATTCTGTCGCCTTTATGCTTTGAGCCTAGAACCATGCGTTTTAATGGAGAGGAAGCGGAACTTCAAGGGAGAGCTAACCCTGCAGGTGCCTGAGGACTTACTCACGAAATGTGCTGACTACGTTGAGCGTTTCGCCGACAGTAAGTCATTGAGGTTTTTTTTTATCGGTTGCATTAATTGGGTTTTGGGATTAACGTGGCATGTTCTGATGTATGTTTTGGTCCGTTGCAGAGTTCTTGGGGATTCCCTGGCACGTCAAAAGGAGAGGCAGTCCGTTTTCAGCCCTGACTTCGTTAAGCGTGCTTCTCTGTGGGATTCGAGTGGCGCCTTGCCAGTTGGTTTATTTCCTGTTCAGCTGCTTGTCATCCTTGCAACGGTAAGTTTAACATGAGCACTCTATTTGCCTTTCACATTGTGCAATTTAATTAGTGTTGATTGCTTTTCTTCGTGCAGGTGAGGTTTAAGTTCCGCCATCCCGGCGCCACGAAGGCTGAGTTGGATCGGTCGGGGGATCCTGGTGCTCTTGCCAGGTAGGCGCGGGTTGTACATCGCTGGATCAACAGCAGTGATGTCACTCGCACGGACGACTGCCTTGGGATCGGCAAGGTCTGCATCGTTGGCTGGAAGGATATTCCAGAGGAGGAGCTAGTTGCAGACGAGCATGGTGACCTTGGTCTCGATGAGCTAGTGAGCAAGCCAGGCT